CATCTGTATTCTGCAATAAAGAGCTCTCCTCGACCAGCACCGCCTTTTCGGAATATAACAGTAGTAGTAGTAGTCCGGTTCATTACCAGGTCTAAACCAGCGGGGCCTTATGTGATTCACCGCTCCAAAATTCGGGGCTTAGGTTACTGGATTTCATTACTGAACTGAGGGTCCTTGTGACCGTAGACCTTCACCCATCTGCTATCCGTCCCACTAAGGTATGCAATAAAAAACATTGCAAATACTTTATTTACCTCGCTGCATTCACATCACGTTATTATTTCAAAACCACAAAAACATAACAAGCTTGCTTCCACTTGTGACATGCAAACTGCAACATTGACTTGCTGGCATACAACCTCCATCTGGCCGTGAAATACGGTGTCATAATCAGACTGATTTTCACAAAAGACGCAGTGTAACTCAACTTGCATCGGTTATTTTGGTCAGCTCTAAAATGGACTGCTTGGCGCATTGGTGAAAGACACGCACTGAACGCCTGCAATCCAGACGAAACAATGGATAGGCACTATTGATGAGGTTGAACAAGAGCAAAACTCAAATCAGACGTGCTCCCCGAGTTTATTTTTGGGCAAGACGAACTGAGAATTGTTATTGTAAAAATACAATCGATAAATTGATTGATTTGATTTATTGATCGAGTCAAAGAAATTGGTATGCGATCATTGTCTTTTCTTCTTCAAATTTGCCCAAAACTCAGATATCGAATGAATCACTATCATTATCTCTGTCTTCAATTGTTACAAGCTGGCTATCATCAGACATTTGTGGAGTTGAAAAAAATTATGAAACTTCAGAAGGAACTACGCCACCAAGCGGGGCCGGCATCTGTCCTCTGGAATGTGACCTTACTCCGTGATCGGAAAGATCAATTACAATACTTGGTCCGTCATCTGGTCTATTCGGAAGATGCATTACACATGAAAAATTTCGATCGAATCTACCGCATGTATTTGAGCATTGCAAATTATTTCCACGCGGATGAGAATGACCGATGGCTAGTGAAATATTTTTTGTACCAATGCAACGAGGTGGCTCATAACACAGTTCGCATATTGAAAAATGTCCGTGCCACACCGGAAAAAGCGCGCACGGAACAGTACGCGGTGTACAGGGACAATGAAGTGCGTGATATCGATCAGGATGCGGTACTGGACGAGTTGTTGGAAGTGGCCGAACGTCGAGTGTATGAATGCACCTATCACATTATCTTATTTCTGATGGAAACTGGTCAGTTTTACATTGTTTAACCTATCCCCGGATTCAAATTGGAACTTTGTCCTTGTGTTGTTGATGATTGTTTTGTTTTTCAGTCGGCAGAGATTTTCCATTTCCAGTGATTTTTAAACAAAATTGATCTGGGGGAAAGAAGAAATACTTTATGAAAAAAGTCGTGCGAGGTTGGGAAAGGAAATTATTCACATACAGGACAGTGATATCACATACATAATGGTATAACGTTCCGATGTGGAACGGCTATCAAATCAGAGTCAAGAATATTTGAAGGACATAAAAGAACACACACCATCAGACTATGGAATGTTGACTTCCGTGGTTAGGTAGCAAATATCATCAGATTGACTAATAAGATATACGTACAAACGTTAAACAATGTGCTAAGCTGCGCTAATACTCGAGGGACAGGAGACCGTGCGGAAGTTCATTTGTCATATTTATTTTCATTACGCCACGGACTGAATCACACCTTTTGCGTGTCACGTCAGAAAATTACACAAGTTTGCGAATCCACTATTATTTTCTCACTAAGCTGTTCATCGTTTCGACTGGGGAGCTGTTTTCAATCTCATTGTTGACATCTGTGTCATCAGTCATCATACAAATAGTGCTTAAAATGCTTGAATCACAATACGGCTGAACTTTGTGTACAAAATTTTCGTAAATACTAAATTGACCATGATTTGTTTGCAGAATACTGCCAGGTTGCCCAGATCAAGATAACGAGGGAAGGGTGATCAGCCCAAAACCCAAGACACCCACCACCGACGGTACTGATGGTTTCGGTTTCTGTTAATATTATTTAGAATTGGCCTCAAGGGAGAGCCAGTGACGAAGCGTTCTTTGATAAATATCATTTATTGTAAAACAAAAACATTTACTGTTAGTCTGCACATGAATAACGATTTGTCTGAGCTTTTCTAGAAGGACTATGGTTGGCATTCGCTCTGTTCCAATTAAATTGCATACGAAACCGAGACCGGCTAAATTTTCTGGTGGTTGAATTGACTTATGGTTGATAGACAATAAGACTTTCCTGTTAATCCCTGTCAACAAGCAACAGAGCCAAATACATTGACTGAGGCTCCTTGTTTAATACTCAGGGAACAGTCAGAACTTACCGGTTCAATTGAAAGATACTGGGTGATAGAACATTACGATACGGTCAAAACCCACTCGAGGATGTAACCGAAAGTGTTTTCCCCGACCAAAGTGAGAGGACGAAGACCCGAGATCCGGAGCTATAACCGGGTCAGTGGACCACTGGTGGTTCACCTGATTCCAAACAAACCAAGAACCACCTTTCCAATTGTGATTGTGCAGTCCACGACTCAGTTGAGTATCGAGAAATATTTGGGCAACTTGGAACTTTGATCCCTTTCAAATAGCACCTGATCCGATGAAGTGGACACCGACCCCCAATGGATGCGGTTTTCAAACCGCCCCGCAGCTTTGCGGGTCAGACTTTGGCTAACCAAAGTTCCTGATAATGAACTCCCTAAAAAAGTCACCTGTCTTGGCCTGGGAAACCTGGCAGTATTTGGCCCACATGTAAATCATGGAACGTTTTTCTTTTCATAAAGATTATTGTACCATGATTATTTTGGCACATAGCCTGACCTCGGAAGTTCATGATATAATAATGAGGGTGTAGAATGGCCGTTTGGTACTAACCCCATTCGATTTGGAATGGTGTATGGTATAAAAATTTGCATAGTTTTGTCCCCAATTTGGACTTGTCACACTGGACGGTAATAATAGCATAACATTTGAAGATGCTATAAATACAAACCCAATTATCGTCATTTGCAGTGGCCATTCACATTCAAATTTACGCTCATTACCATCACGAGGGCTGCAAATATCCTTCTTTGTCCTACCGTGTATCGCATTTCTCCTCTCCCTCTTCCCCACTCTCTCTCTCTCTCTCTCTCTCTCTCTCTATCTTGCAGAACGTTACGTGGAGGCGCTAATGATCGCACGACCATTATACTCTAAACTCAAAGATTCTCGACCGTACCGAGTGGCTCCGTTAGATCCGACCAAAGAGACGGATCCCGAATGGATGAAACATGCCCAATTGCTGGTTCAGGCAGTCGCAGAAAAAATGTGCGCATGCACCCTGCAAATGTTTGAAACGGACAAAGGCTTCGATACCGATGCAGATATCTCATTTGCATTGTTGGAAGCATTGGAGTTTGCAACAGAATGTGAGTATCCGGAAATAAGTTAATTTAGCTAGACAATAAACACAACCCTATGGGGGAATGAAGTAAGCCTATCGTTGGCCGGTTCAGTTCCGTTAATTTCCTACGTGGATAGGGTCATTTTGATATGACAAGAGAGGGAGAGGTCGAAGGAGGAGGAGGAGGATTAGTGCCGTATTGTTATTTCTCCGGTCGTGTTGTGCTCTAAACAAACAAATCATATGGTACCATATTTGGCTTCCAAATATGTTCATATTGAATGAAGTTTTCCCAAAGCCCATGGTTGATTTCGTTGTGTCATTTTCACACAGTGAAATTGAACGCAGTTCCTGGTGTTTTAAATCCAAAAGACCGTGCCAGGCGAGGGTAGTTATTTAGTATGAATAACCGTAAAGTTATCGGTAAATTTGTACACACAGAATAAAACGTCTCATTTGGAACAAGTCTTTAGTATTTCCACAAGCACACAGGATAATTATTGGAACGGTCCGACAGCAATTGCGTATTTCCCATAGTAATTTCCCACAATAATTCGCTCTAAGAGGTCTTGCTCATTTTTGACTGTTGAGACAAATAGCCAATCACATTCTTTTGCGCAATCCAAATACACAGCCCACAACATCCCCACTCCTCGGCAAAAATTATTTCTGCATTCATTAAACTCTGCTATACGTTTCTCGAAAGTCGAAATAATCCGTCGCCGATCGAGAATGTCGGTCGGTTTATTGCGCGATTTTCGTAGATCTGACCGAGAGCTTCATCTGTGACGACTCTGTGGTGCACGGCTGTTGTTATCGTGCCGTTTATCGGGTGTACTTCAATACACAAACCTGTTGTTACTTATCTCCTGAAACATGTTCATTGATTTTTTCTTTATCCACATCACCATCTAGGGAGTAACTTCTTTGATCTAGTGTCACCGACACGACCTCCAACAAGGTGCATGTATTCTGCTTCCAGCATCTTCAAAAGTGCACTTGGTTTCCGGTTCGCCGGCATTCCTAACTTGTATATCGTTTTATTTTGCTGTCTGGCCAACTTCTACTCGTCCCTCGTGTTCTCATTAAAGAAAGTTCGATTTGATGCGCTGTCAACCTGCGGCTTTTATTCGCCCACTATTTTTACTGCCGTGAACGAGGCTTCTACTGACTCAATGAACTGGAGTTCTCCAGAGAAACTATAGAACATGTGTCAAAAAACATAGCACTCTCTCATTCCCCATCTTCATATGGGTTTGGAATGGATGCCTATCATCCATCTCGGAGGGATCCTTGTCCGGGAACAGTGATTTGAATAAAATCAAGGGTTCTCTCACGGACCACTTAAGCTATTTCGGAACAGCATTTCTGCCACTGATCATCTTACGCTAAAAGTTTCCCTTATTGACGACTCTCTGGTTGTAATGTGCTCTGATGGCCACCACCTCCGACAGTTTCTTGAGAATTCCCGTAATTCGTGTGTTTTAGCTTCTAGGGCCTTCGTTTGACTGAGAGATGCGATATTCTTCCGGTTGAAATCTCTCGAGACACCCGCCAGCCGGAGTACATTCATGGTCTTCTGGACATTAGTTATCCGTGCCGTCTCCCGCAAGTCTTTTGACATGCTTTCCATGAAACGATCGAGCAATAAGTTCGAATACGCGACACCGTCCAACGTCTGGAGCGCTCGATCCAATAGGGCGCACAGAGCCAAAGCATGCGACAAGGGGAGCCACGCCAACTGCGAACTGCGCCGTCCCGAAGCTCCTCAACACCTCTGCCGGGGTGTCGAACCACGCGATTAGAGTGCCCCTTGCGGCGGTCCACTCCATCTTCTTCGGGCATCTTTGCCTGTACCGAAACTGTAGTTAACCACTTTGCTAATGCATGCTGGGGTGAATTAATCATGCATAGAATGGGTCCAAGTGGAACGCCATCTTTATGCAGCTTTGTGTTAAAGCACGAAGGCAACAAGGATCAGTGAGTGAGATAACGTGCAAGTGAAAAAGTGAAGGTCCTCGTGCGCAGAAGGATACAGTTTGTGGCAACCATGTAAAACAGTTATCACAATGCGTTGGTATTGATGTAGAAATGTGAACACAGTCAGATTACGAGGGAAATCTGAGGTCCGATAAATACTTGATGTTATCCGAATTTCGCCGTACAATCAGATACAGCAGCTTGGGCGCAATAACGCATTGTTAACAGCTTTGGATGACTTCTTCCAGCTGTTTACCGATGGACGGCTAATAGACATAACTACCGACGAGTGATTTCTTGAGTAGTGGGTTGTCGCTTATTTTCTCTCGAACTTCATAAGCTTTCACTGTTTGTTACGTAGGGCATCTGTCACGAGGAATCCGACAACTGGTTTCCCCGATCTCGAAGCAATGACTTTTTGTTGGGGCTCCGGTAGTTAAAAGCTGATAGGCCTTGACAGCGCATCTGTTTGACCAAAAGATGCAGTCGACTGATAGCGGGTTTCAAAACCGGATGAGTATCCAACGTTGGAGGCGGTTGGCGATATATATGAGGATGCATTTTTGGAGCCTAAAACTTGCTATCAGTGGCTTGTGGTTGGTATGGAGTATGAATTTTCGACTGCAGAGCATCTAATGAAACTTCTTCACAGCAAAGATTTAAGCCAGGGCTTATTTTTGAATTTGACTGTTGTTCTGCTCTTTTCAGTTGTCGATATGGCAACGTGTAAAACGGCCCTGTTTGATCCATATGGAAATTTGTGAGAGATAACTGCACCAACTCTGGTGTTTGAAGCATCGGCTACCATGATTATGTCAAGTGCTAGGTCAAAATGTGTCAGAAGAAGGTCTAAGCTGAGTATTGACTTGACACAAGCGAAGGCTTTCGACCAATTCAATGGGTGGTTCATCGGGGCCCGCAGGTAATGCATATCAGAAAGAAATGCACCGAAGTGACTTACGAGGCCCCAGAATAATCTGTGTCGCTAAATCCTTTGGTGGTGGCATATTTTGAATGGCTTGGATGTTCTCTGGATCGGATTGGCGGCCATCTTTGTCCAGGCTGAACCCGAGATATTTGATGGAGGGCACGAATAAGTCACACTTGTCTTATCGGGTTCTGAAACCAAAATCTTGAATCCGCATTCAGTCGGCTAAACCGATACAGCCCATTAGGGAAGATCGTACCCGATGGTTAGATACACTGAATGATATGGCTGGGTGTCGTAAACAGTGATGTTCTTGCAAATTCTCAATTTATTAGCAGCCATAGTTTACTGGAGTTCTCAATTTTCTCTTTAACTTTCCTGTTCTTCTCCTATTATTCATCCAAATGGGCAGCTAAAAGACAGTAACCATAACCGGTGCATGGTTAATGGTTGTTCAAACTGAAACTGAAACAGCCCATTAGGATGATATCATCCAAACATGCTGCACTACCCGTGAAACCAATCAACATCGGGTCTATCTGTTGTGGGAAATTTGCTAATACAATTGTGGAACCGATACGCAAACCATTGTAATGGGACAAGCTGTACTGAGTGTCTATCATCAGTAGCTCCTTTGAGTTAACAGAAACGCTCACTTGGTGATATGTATCCAACAAATCAAGTTTGGGAAACATGTACCACCATTCAGTTTTGCGAAGATGCCTTCCGGTATCGGGAGTGGATATTGATGATCTTCTGGTGAGGTGTTCAGACCCGTTGAGAGATCGGCACAAATGCGCACCTTGTCATTGGGTATATTGACGACCACAATCGGAGCTGCCCATGATGAGTAATTGACCGCCTGGATGACAACAGATTGTTGCCGTCGGTCTAGTTCACCGTCGATCGATTCAGTGGCGACTCGTAGGGTACAGGGCGTTTTGATTTCAACACTGGTTTAGAATCTGGCTTCGGTGAAAGTGAGGCACGGAACTTTTTGCAATGACCAGGATGTTCCTGGAATACAGATGCAAATTTCTGCTTCCGCGATATCCAGTCAGTAGTCGAGGATGAAGGCCCATTCTGAATTCGACCTCGACGGCATATTTCGTTCACCAAATAATCCAAACTTCTCGATTCATTCAAGAACAAGGAGTTTCAGTTCGGGTCGAGCAGCTGCCTTTGCGATAATGCTTTGGAATGAAATATTACAGTTAATTTCACCAATCAATTTCAGCTTATCTCTTGACGCACTTTCCGTTTTTGGGTAGATGAAATAATTGCCTGTATCCCGATGCGGCCCCAAATGCCTCTGGAGATCAGAGTGATATTTGAGGCTGTGTCCAAATGCAGTGTGAATGGTTTGCCACTGATGAACACGGTGAGGAATTTTCCGTTTGGCTGCCTATCTGCTTGGAAAGCCGCAACGATTGAGCGTGGTTCTGGGAGTCGTTTGTTAAACCTTCTCAGCACCGCTTTCTTCTAACAGGTTTGAGTATGTCTCGTTGACCAACAGCATTTTTCCTTGTGATCATATTTGTTGCATTTTTGACATGTGTGCTTTTGAATGCACAAAAACGTACTAACTACCATTCACTACACGACCGACATGTACAAGGTGGCTTACTTGTGGGGCATTTTAGGGATTGAAGTTTATCACAGATGGCTGATTCTTTGGGCAATGCGATGAATGGACTTCAGTTGTAACATTCTTCTGATAGACCAATACAGTGTCATACTTCAAATAGAGAAGACTTTTGCCCTTGACTATAAAGGCTTCTGGTTGATATCCGGGTTCTGAACAGGTCTGGATAGTAAACCAGTATGACTGTCGATATCTGGATTTTGCAATGTTCTCATAAAAGTGAAACACTTGGATTGGTCACGATTGACTCGACCAACAAGCATGCCATAATCCTCTCCATTCCGTTTACCAATTTCCAGATACTCATAAAGGATACTGAACAATGAAGCTGACTCACCAAAGATTTCTGACAATTGTTCCACGACTTGGTAAAAGTT